TTTTCCTTGTCTACTCCCATCTTCCTCCTCTGGATCAAACTGATAAAAAATGTTCAGCACTTTTTCCTCATGTTCTTGGATCCAGTCATAAAGCTACAAAACAGAAGAAAACAAAACTAAACAATCAACCTCCAATCATCTGTACATAACTATGTACATGTATTAAACATTGGGTCCAATTGTGGTTACTATAATGCTGGTCAACTGGATCAAGGGACTGCAGCAGGGCATTCATTGGGCATTGGAGGACGGAGAATTCTTCATTGTTATGCAGAATTCTCTTGTTGATGTTAAGACTATTTTTTATACAGACGTGGAGCATCTTTTAAATTATTCTCTTGTAACATTACACCTTTCTCCTGCTACTAAAATTCTATATGAGACCCCTACCAGCAGCCTTAACCTTCTAATTGACTAAAGTGACAAAAATCAATTTTCCCCTTACAATATTACTACATGATCAAGAGATAAGGTAATCAGAATTCATCATGATAACCTAAAAGGAAAATGCTTTGATCTTTAATCAAATTCTCTCCACTGATTCTTTAAGGAAATGTATGGAGATAATTCTACAGAATTTACATATGGATACCAGGGAGTAAAAGGTTAATAAATGTGGTTACCACTGGCTTCCAATAATACCTACTCTGATAGCATAAGGCTCTCCTGTTCTACTTCCTCCTTTTGACAACTTAGCAGACTGTTTTTCTGCCTTACGACATTCTTTAAGAGCATCCTTATGCTCATTATCCTTTGCCAACAGTCTGGGTGTTTTTCCTTCTTTGTTCTTTAATGTTGATGGACAACCTGTTTAGCAAGAAGGAATTATGCTCGTTCAAAAAAATTTAAATAATACTCAACAGTCAAAAATTAAGTTTCAAAAAATGTGTCTAACTCCAAAAGTGTGAAAAGGCAAAGAAAGGTACTGAAAACATTCACAAATTATAGTTCTTTTTTTTTTTTTTCAAAAATAAGGGTCAACACATTTAGCACAAAATATTCCTTGAGGATGCTATGTGGCAATGTGTTCACGCCCAACTGGACAGAGGGCTCACCGCTATTTCTGCAAAAGGAACTTAACCACTTCGACCTACACTGTAAATCAGTTTAAGTGACCAGTGGAAACAAGATTTTGGTATGGTTACAGTCAAATCACTCTTGACAGACAGCTCTATAAGCAGGACACCCTCGAAGACAGACACCCACTGTAACTATACTCTCTGTAAGACGGACACCTCTCTAAGATGGACAATGGACAATCAAGAAGTGCTTTAATAACCAGTGAATAATACCCCAAAATGGAAATGTAGGTGATGTACTTGACAGTAAATTACACAATTTTTGATATTGTAGTCTTGCTCCAGTTTGCAGAGCCTCGAATGTTTACTTGTGATGAATTTTTGATTGCATAGTGAGAAAATAATTTCACTTTTCTCTTACAATTCAATTTACAATCTTCCAGGTTAAGCTGTTTTGTACAAGTTAAAAGAAATGTGCATTCATTGCCAGTGGGTTCAGCACAATTTAAAATAATGTCACCTTGACTCTCTATAAGCCGGACACCTCTCTAAGATGGACAGTCTGGTGCCAAAGGTGTCCATCTCAGAGACAGTTGACTGTACTCATTCTTGGAGGCTCACAGATCTGATTTCAGTCAATGTTGTCAAGTGTTTCCTATTTCTACAACTTACATCATCCATGACCTGCATGTATATCAGTATTTGTGGAGCTCAAGGGACAGAACCTGCAAAACCATTCTGCAGACAAGTGCTAAACCAACTGATCATGACTGTTACAGTTACAGTGTATGATTGCCTTCTTAAAGCAAATAACATACAGCTATAGCAATGATATAAACCAACTGACCTCTTTGTGCCAGGAATTTGCATATGGGTCCAAATCCCTGTTGAGCAGCATAGTGCAAAGAGGTGTTACCATCCAAAGCAACTTTACCAAGATCAGCACCATAAGCTGACAAAACTCGAATCACTTCAAAGTGCCCATTCAAAGCTGCCCTATGAAAAAAAAAAAAAACTTGTTTAATTCCCATAAGGACAATGAGTAATTGACAAGAGATGACTGTGCGGTACCATAGTTAAGAACTGTACACAGTATGGTGTCTGAAAATTTTTTCATGTCAAGTACTGCAGGGTTTATTCTATAGGAATTGGCCAACGATGGCTTCATGTGGCAGGAACCATTAATTCTCAAACTGTAGCTAGGTAAAATGTAGGGGTGGATCCAGGGAGGTGGATAGGGTGGCTAGCCATTAACCTTGACGGCCTACTGGTAACATTTCCGTGATATGAGTGATATCATGTACATCTTGCCAGTGAGTGATATCATGTATGTCATGTACATTGTGAGAACTTTGCATTTTTACAGGTTCCTTTTCATCATCCCTCAATGTACGTTTTGTGAATACCATAGGACAAATCAAACTCAATGTTCTGTTTTGTGGTTGATTGGAGTCAACCACCTGAGTCTCTTACAAAAACCTGGATCCTATATCAAGGTATTTGAACACTTCTGTGCCACTTACTTTGGAATTTTGTTTTCTCTTGGACATAGTTTACACTCCTTTTTCATTGTTTTTACTCTTGTCTTACTGATGCCACTTGACTTTTCAGTTAGTTCTGTTCGTTGGGTTGGTCTGTCTCCCAGTTGTGTTATTTTTAACACAACTACTGGAAAACTTGCTTTCAAATTTTGCCAAATGAGTTAAAAAATTTTAAGTCACAACTTGAAAGACATGAGTGATGACTGCAGGATATCTGAGGGGTTGGAGTGGAAGGAGGTACTTTCTGGAGAACTAAATAGCAATGTTTTTATGGAATTGGAATTTGAAATCAACATGGTGGTAGTTTAAATCATGAGTTTCTACTCACTTGTGGGCTGAATGGTTATTTTCACTGTCTACTGCATCATAGTCAGCCCCAGCCTCCAAGATTTCCCTGGCACACCCTACACTTCCAGCTGCACAGGCCGCGTGAAGGGCTGTCTGGCCAGTTATCTAACATTTAAAAGAAAAGTAAAATTGCAGAAAAAAGTTTGATTGCACTTGTATTCTCTGTTTTCAAAAATAAAAATGCCAACCAATCTCAAAAAATCAGTAACGTTTTTAGCCCAAATAAGAGCTTTCCTGGCTGCCAGCTATATTAAATGCCACTTCACGCAAAAGCCTGGAAATTCAAGTGTCCTCTATTGCAAAATGAAGAACCCTTTCAACCTGAAAAATTTATATGAATAATGATGTTTAGCTGTGCTTATACCTTATGAAAGTAGAAACACAGAAGAATCAATAATTCCCTAAGCTTGAATTTTGGTGACGTCACGTGAAAACCGAGAATCATAAAGCAGTATGGAAAACCTGACTACACTGACATTGTGTACACGTATCTATGGCTCTTGCATTGCATGTATGTTCATAGGCAATTTCTTCTTCTTAATTGAGGTCTGTACTCTGCATTATATATCATTTATAAGCTCATATAAATCTGAATTGTAACATACTGCATGAACACTATTTGGATCTGCCCCAGCAATAAGAAGTGCAGCTACAATGTCATCAAGTCCAGCTTCTGCAGCCACCAACAGTAAAGGCTGACCATCTTTACTCTAGTTTAAAAGCAAGGAAAAGAATTCAAATTAAAATAAAAATTAAAAGTAGCTTATGGATTGGGAAACCTCATACTAACTTATGAGAACCTTTGTTGTTTTAGGGAAAGCAAGTGCAGTGTTCTCCCTAAATTTTAGCTTAGCAGGTAAGGGACCATTCTTGACTGGTAAGGCCAAAAATATGTGCCAGAGGCGCACTCTCCTGCCGGGGGAGGGGCTTCGCGATCATGAGGGCTTTTATTTTCGAGCATCCTGTCAACCAATTGACCGAAAAGTATTTTAAACACCTCAAAACAAAGAATTCTACGAATGAGGGCTGCCTTTGCCGCTAGGGTCAATTTAGTAACACAAGTCGCGGAAGTTGCGAACTTTTCCTGCTGGTCGAAAAAGCTTAGAATTGGGACAGTGGCCCACGAAAAAATTGTTAGCCTGCAGTGCTTTGAAAGGTGCCAGTCAGCACCTAATAAAGTAATTAGGGAGAATAGCTGTGTATACTTTTTGTTTTTCCATATTTACTTCCTTTTCTTGCAGGGATCGGCTTGGATCACAACTTGCATATTTTTGAAACAATTTATTTTTAAATTTTAGTAACACTTGGTTGCAGGCGGTAAGAAGTGTTGCTTCAAGCGGTAAATTTTACCGGTTACCGCCTCATAAGGAGAATACTGAAGTGGGAGAAAGGGTTGAAACAGGGAAGTTTCACATTGCAATTGGCACCATTAATATAACTGCATTTTTTTTTAAGTTAGAGGTGTGACATTTTATCCTGAGAGTGCTAGGATTTTTTGTAGGGGTCCAATAATATCCAAAGATGTCCAAAGACGTTCCAAAGAGTTTCCTCTAACACAACAGGGGAACACAACCTTGCCTCCACTGACTATACATCAAACCTATATTATATCAAACCTACCACGTAGTTCACACTGGCACCATGATTGAGGGCAATCTGTAGACATTCTAGATGACGCTTTGTAGGCTGGATACAGTAGAAGAGTATTCCCTTCCCTTCAACGTCTCTGACTGTCAAAGAGAAAAGTTATCATGTTTGCTGATACTAAATTTCAAAAGTAGGTTGAGTTTCTTGGGTTCAAGCCTTTCACAGTTATTAAATTATAAAACAAAATTATCACATTTATTTAAGCGAACTGCTTCAGTGTACACTGTAAGAGGTATAATCAAATAAGCAAGTGACAAATCAAATAATAATTATTCTTGTATAAAATTCATTCAAATAAAAATATTAAATTCCTTACTTGTCAAATCTGTATCTGCCTCTGTTAAAAGAGTCAGTGCCTGGACATGGCCAAACTCTGCTGCTCGCATAGCAGGACTATTATTCTTGTATAAAATTCATTCAAATAAAAATATTAAATTCCTTACTTGTCAAATCTGTATCTGCCTCTGTTAAAAGAGTCAGTGCCTGGACATGGCCAAACTCTGCTGCTCGCATAGCAGGACTCCGCCCTTTCAAGTCTACCATGTTTGGACTTGCACCAAGATCAAGAAGAAATGAGATCATCTTCTCGTTATTCTTGCATGCAGCCAAATGAAGACCTGTCTCACCATTCTCAGGTTCTAGATTAACAAGTAAATACAAATTTTGATTAAAGCTTGGTTTATGTTTCCAGGAATGTGTATCCTGTCCCGCAGGCAAGCACTCTGTTTGGAGATTGTGAGAGTCATTGGCACAGGAGCCTTCATGACAGGGTTTTTGTGGCTGGTCAACCAACCAGTTTCTAACCCAGCCTGGCAGGGTTTTACTTGAGTGACACATCAAGTTTCCTGAGGGTAACTGTGAGACACATATTGGTAGTTCTTAAATGGAAAGTTTTGCACGCATTAGATCATATATTTGAATGCTATTTTGCGTCTAATAAATACTAAATCATTATTATATTATTATTAAAAGTTTGCCACAGGTTACAGAAACTGTACCCCAGTTTAAATTCCAGCTCTGATGATGGCTTTGTGAAGGTTAGAGATGAATTATCGTAAGATACCAGGGTTCTTTTTCATTTCTTTAGTACTTGGTAAATTGGTGCCTATTGACTTAAACTTCTACATCTGGAAGCAAATGTAGAGATGCAACAAATGCAGATTATTTGGACTCTTGGTCATTTAATGATCAGGAAAACTTGACCGGCTACCATTTGTTTAGCTCAAACTTGCAAGTTCCGCACACATTCAGTCAATTGTCTTCGGCTGTGTCGTTACCATTTGACTGCCCACTTTATAAGCTTAAATAAATGAGTGACAGTAAGGCATATCATACAATGGGCAAATCACAAAATTACTAAATTCAGTTCTGTCGCCTGTTTTGAGTCTATTTTGGAGCTGAACAAAGTAAAAAGGCGTTGTGACCTGAACTATTGATCTCCTAATCCAATAATCTTTTTGTCTATAATAAAGGTGTCTTTCTAAATGCTTGCGATGTATAACAAAGAAAGCAGACTGTTAAAGAATCACTGAGTAAAATTGACAGACAAGATTTAAATCTGTTTTAATCCCAGTACGTACGATGTTGGAAATTTGAACCTGAAAGAAAGCGATTGAAGGAAAATTAGATTTTGGTAAGAAGTTTCCACCAGCATACAGCGATAAAGTATCTTTTCAATGCAGCTGTTAAAATCTCTAATCGCAACTTGATCTGTATGAAGCAATCTTCAATAAAATAAACTCCTGTTTATTAAATTTCCCGCCCTGCAGAACCCAAACAAATAGATACTCGCGCGAAAATCTATGGCGACGAATAACACCTCTGCTCTTCTCAAGTTACTGGGTTAATTGATTTTGTATTAATACAAAGAACTTCCTTCACTTACCAGAATAGTTGATCAAATAAGGAACTCCGTGAGTTGTCAGCTTCTCGATTTGATCGACATCCTCGTTGCGAACCGACTGAAGTAACTTTAGAACTTGAAGTTGTTCTAAACGATCTTGGGCGATCGGCATTATTCTAAATGGCCGCGCCGAGGCCGCGCAAGTTAGGCGCTTTTATTTCTCTCTATAAGAAAGGATGAAAGACTCCTTCGCGAGAACCTAGACTTTACACAGCACGGAGAATTCATAAGAACGACCGCAAAAGCTGGAAGTTATAATGTCACTTCGCACTTCATCTTAGCGTTTGCCAGTTTCCAGCTCTCGTTGTTAGGGAATTTTTGGCCTCCAAGAAACATCAACGAGCGTTTTCACGGTTCTGATTGGCTGATATAGGTCATTATTTCTGGGTATCGAAAGGGAACAACTGAATAGGTACTGCCAGTACTCACTTCTGATTGGCTAGTCTCGGCTTTTATCGTAGGTGCTCAAGAGGATAAGAAGATTAAGGACTTTTATCTTACCCAGGAACCCCTTCAATCCTAGATACTTTCAAAATGGCGTCCGAACTTGCCGATGTCACATTAGAAACCTCCATGGTATGTTTTTCTTGTCCTCTAGAAAGCAACTGTCTTTGTGTTATTTCATTCACTGTTTCTGTTACTCTCTAATACAAATCACCTGTGAAGCGTGTATTACTGCGTACCTATATACACCTTGATAACGAATTTGGTCGTCACACGAGTCTTATTAATTGTGCATTTCAAGGGTGAAATTAAATGTGAGTTATACTGGAAACATGCCCCCAGGACTTGCAGAAATTTTAGAGATTTGGTGAGTATTTACCTGGTTGCTGACTTTATTGATCATGTCAGAAAATAATATTATTGAATGTCCCATGAAGTATCGTTGTGGTGGACAAGAAAAAACTTCAGAATGGCTAAACTGTAGAACACGCAGACACTATAAACCTCTCGAAGAGCTGCTTTTTAGTCTACTAGACGTCCAAATTTACCAAAAAAAGCTAAAAAATAAATTGAAAGAGTATTTTTATGATTCCTGTCTTCATTCTTCAGCATTTACAAAGCTTAGTAATTTTTCATTCTCTTAGCCTTAAAGTAAAATTATAACATAGCGCGCGTGCTTTCCCTATATAAGTCCTATTGAGCCGCTATGAACAAAATCTTTATTTACGCACGCCCGTGCGTAAATAAGATGACGTAAGCATCTTGTTTTACCAGGCTGCAGAGTTGTCGTCTTTTAAGCTGCAGTGCAGTTTTCCTTCTCTTTAAAATATGGAAGAAACCAGCGAAGAACTGCCCGATTTTTCTATCGGCATTGACCTTTTAGGTCCTGATCCAACACGCAGCAAAAATTGAGCCGAATTAAAAAAACTCGCATGTTGCGCGTNGTTTTGCTACTTGTCGAGTTAGCTATATGTTATGGCATTAATTTTGGGTGCTTGGCGTCTTGACGTCTTATTTAAACAGTATGTGAAGTTCAAGCACAGGATTACAATTTATTTTAATTTACAGTTAGCAGCAAGTTTGAACGATTAGTTGATGTGGCGAACTCGAACATGTAGTGAACTTGACAAGTACATGTAGCGAAACCCGCTGTTACCATTTTAAGTTAATTACCTGGGCTGAGTTGCTCAAAGCATGGTTAGCTTTAACCATTGGTTAAGCAGTATCAAAACCAATACGTTGTCAAGGTATTAAATGCTGGTTAACGCTAACCATGCTTCGAGCAACTGGGCCCTGATTTAGATTTGTCATGGTATGTCTAGCGTGACATGCCATATATGATCAAGCATGCTTCATGCACGATATAATCTTGAGTAGAGCTCATTTTGTGATTAAAAAAAGAAAGACTTAAATGAATCTTTGTGCATCTGCATCCCATTTTATCACAAGATTTATCCACTGCAAATGCAGGGATGTAGGAGCAGTCATTTTTTCACCCCATTATGTATAAAGTTCATTCATTTTCGTCCTTATCCGAGAAGACTAGAAAGTTTGAGCATTTTGCTGATGTCATGGCAAAGGCGGCACTTTGTTTTCAGTTATTTAAAGACCCTAAGTGTTGGTCCTGCCAGGGTTCGAACCCACGACCTCCCGCCCAGCAGACCAGTGCTCTCCCAACTGAGCTAACCAGGGGACGGTATTATGGTTGTCACAGGTCAGGAGATAGCCAGGGAAAAAACTTATTCTGAAATTACTAGTTGTAGGAGACAGTACATGTATAAATCTAGTAAAAAGGTATTGTCAAATCATTTATTCACAGTTTAGTGGTTAGAATACTCAATGGGTCTTTGAGAGCAGGAAATCAAGTTTTTTTGACTCAGTGTATTTTTTTCACCCACCTTTAATAATAATATTATTGTTTTAACAGGCAGCGAGAGGATATTATAATAACTGCAAATTTCACAGAGTTATAAAGGTAAGAGAAAAGAACAGGAGAAAAATTTTAACAGTAAAAAAGTATCACAATATATTACTGATAATCTGTTAGTTTTCATTGTGGCCTATAAATATGGCCAGAAACAAATTATTATATAATATAAAGGCAATTTTGATTGACGGCAACAAAAAAAGGAATTGTGAAGGTGGCTTTTGAACTTCACAGTTCGTGCGTTTTTGAAAAGCGCAGTAAATTTATACATGCAAATTTTTTTTAAAGATTGTTTTCTTGCACACCCAGTGATTTTGTTACAAATAGTTATGGTGAGTTTTGGGACTCATCCTGTGTAAAATCATAAGTCCCATTCCAGATCCGATGAGTTCCAGTTCAAAAAAACAAGGAGTTATGCTTGGGCCTTTACGTAACCAGACAGTAAATCTAGAGACAGACTCCAAACTCTTTATTACAGTTTACTGAAATTGAAATGTAGTCCTCCTATATATTTAAAGCCCAATAATATTAAAAGACTATTAAAATAAATATTCATGTAATATATCTTTAAACAACAGCCACAGAAATTACACGTACAGGATATTCTACCAAAATATCTTCAAATTGACTGATCATTCTTTGCGTCCTATGGGATGCATGCCATGAATTATTTTGTGTCTTTGGGGAATTGTTATGTTTCAGGGATGAGGACGCAGGGGTAACAAAATCACTGACACCTCACCGTTATGGACTTGTGCTACTACTTAAACTAACTAAAAGAGGTTCTTCTGGAGTTGACTGTCAAATAGGATGTTATGCCAGAAACAAGATAACTCCTTGTGTGCTCCTTTTTTGTTATAGGGTTTCATGATCCAAACAGGGGATCCTACAGGGACTGGAAAAGGAGGTGCTTCTGTGTATGGGTGAGTATGCTTAAAAAGTCTCTAAAAGTATTGCAATAACACTTTAAAACAGTTAACCCAAAATCTGCAACCCTCTTTTCTAAGTGACCAACTGTCCAAAACACCAAAATTTTACCAGTTAAAGCCCTATTAGAACACCTTATGTAAACCACTATCACTTGTAAGCAACCAATATCTTAAACACAAAAAGAGAAGTTTTCTATCTCAGCCTGGCCATGTAATATCCTCTATGTCACTAGCATACATGTAAAGTGCGGTATTCTTTTATGCAATAGGCCTGCTTTTGAAGATGAAATAACAAGAGAATTAAAGCATACAGGTGCAGGAATTCTGTCAATGGCAAATAGGTAACAATCATTTTCCTTTAAACAGGATGTCAGGGTCCGAAATTAACTTTTTAATATGGGCGCCAACTGGTGAGCAAGTATAAATTTTTGGTCGTCAGAGGGCAAATTATGGTCGCCAAAAATTCCCCTTGGTGGCTTGGAAACGTTCAACTCGTATTGATCGTAGCTGTTGTGGAGGTATATTTATTTTACAGGAAGATTCGTTTCACTTTTAAATTAAAAAATATCAGCAGGACAAAAAGTACGCCCCTGTTGGCAAATAGCTTCGAGGTTTCAATTCCTAATCATTTTCTCCGAGCGTGAAAGTCTACAATATCAACCAGCTTTACAAGTCGCCAGCTGGCGACCGGCTATGAAATTCTGATCGCCAGAACTGAATTTTTTGGTCGCTTTGGCAACCAGGAAGGTGCAATTTCGGACCCTGGATGTATAGCAATCTGTAATCTTGTAGTTCAAGTTCATATCATTATTATGATTTTATTGCACTTTGATTTACCTTTTGTTTGAGTGTTTGGGTAGTTGATTTTGTTGGCTATGCTTAAACAAGAAGTTTACCATGATGTTCTGAATAAATAAAACTATATAATGAAATTATATAGTAAAAAAGGTAAATTATTTTTTGAAATCTTTATTGACTTTTGAATTTTTTTAGTGGTCCAAATACTAATGGCAGCCAGTTTTTCATCACTTTGGCTCCAACACAGTGGCTTGACGGTAAGAATACATGTTTGACATTTTAGTAATGAATACACTCATTGTCAGGCCATGAATCAAAGCCATTTTAGGTCATATCTACTTCATTGTAGGTCAATTAGTTTAGCTCATTGTAGGTCATTGTAGCTCAACTGTAGCTCATGTTTTGTTTTAGTAGTACAGCTAGTGGAACCCTGCTCTAAGGACACCCAGCTTTGGCATACATAGAGGAAATTTCAATTGTCACAACCCAAAACTAATACTTTTTTTAAAAATTCATCTGCTCAATACCGACACTGGTTGATATGGACAATGAACATTTACACTGTCTCTGTGTACTGTGTCACAAAGTCCCTCACATCATCAACCCATCTTTACGGACACTGTTTAANGAGGTATATTTATTTTACAGGAAGATTCGTTTCACTTTTAAATTAAAAAATATCAGCAGGACAAAAAGTACGCCCCTGTTGGCAAATAGCTTCGAGGTTTCAATTCCTAATCATTTTCTCCGAGCGTGAAAGTCTACAATATCAACCAGCTTTACAAGTCGCCAGCTGGCGACCGGCTATGAAATTCTGATCGCCAGAACTGAATTTTTTGGTCGCTTTGGCAACCAGGAAGGTGCAATTTCGGACCCTGGATGTATAGCAATCTGTAATCTTGTAGTTCAAGTTCATATCATTATTATGATTTTATTGCACTTTGATTTACCTTTTGTTTGAGTGTTTGGGTAGTTGATTTTGTTGGCTATGCTTAAACAAGAAGTTTACCATGATGTTCTGAATAAATAAAACTATATAATGAAATTATATAGTAAAAAAGGTAAATTATTTTTTGAAATCTTTATTGACTTTTGAATTTTTTTAGTGGTCCAAATACTAATGGCAGCCAGTTTTTCATCACTTTGGCTCCAACACAGTGGCTTGACGGTAAGAATACATGTTTGACATTTTAGTAATGAATACACTCATTGTCAGGCCATGAATCAAAGCCATTTTAGGTCATATCTACTTCATTGTAGGTCAATTAGTTTAGCTCATTGTAGGTCATTGTAGCTCAACTGTAGCTCATGTTTTGTTTTAGTAGTACAGCTAGTGGAACCCTGCTCTAAGGACACCCAGCTTTGGCATACATAGAGGAAATTTCAATTGTCACAACCCAAAACTAATACTTTTTTTAAAAATTCATCTGCTCAATACCGACACTGGTTGATATGGACAATGAACATTTACACTGTCTCTGTGTACTGTGTCACAAAGTCCCTCACATCATCAACCCATCTTTACGGACACTGTTTAACATTACTTTCTATGACTGAATTTTACCAGTGAAAACCCAACAGGAATATGGCAAGTGACCTTTCAAAGGTTCTGTCTAATGTTCAGTCCACCTGGCTGAGTGGCAAACTAAGATCATCAATAATGCAAAGTAAAGTCCGAGATTCCATCATCATGTTTAGGGGAAAATACTTGTAAAAGATAATTCTGGTCCAAGAATACAATAAAAGATCCTTAGGTTTATTTAGGATGAACTTGTTAAAGTTACGGCTAAGAAATAAACCATGTTTTCTCCCAAAAATGTCTGCTTTCCTCTTCATATCAGTAAAACACATGTCCATGTTGTTTTTTCTGAGAGCCTGCTTAATATGGACACCCAGTTGATATGGGCACAACGACATGTGCTCTTGGTGTATCATTAACCAGGTTGCACTTTACAATAGCATCATTGTCCTAGAGAATTTTTTTTTTTTTTTTTAAATTAATGCTTCTTTCCTTTCCCTTTTTAGTTAAGTTGGTCCTTATAGATGTTTGTTTTCTGGGGGAAAATGACTTGTCTGTTTCTTGAAAAGGCCTTACTTAGGTTTTGGACAAAACAGCTGCATTTAATAGTGCTCATTTTGTCATTTCTTGCAGGCAAACATACAATATTTGGTAGAGTGTCTGGTGGAATTGAGATAGTCAGGAGAATAGGGCTGGTAGAAACTGACCCTTCAGACAGGTAATTTGGTTTAAACCTTTAGTGGCTTAGGTGCAGCCAAATTCACTCAAAAAATATACGTTCCCAAGATATATACCTACGCTAAGCTTCTTAGAGACTGGGGGAGAAAGCAGATGATAATTTTTTATCTTTCATCAATATTTATTTTTATTTTGCCTTTTAGTGTCACTGTACAGGGCTCTAAATAAAATTGCATCTTTGTTGACTGTACATGTACATGTTGTAGTTAATTTCTTGTCTCAGTTAATTTTGTTTTCTCACTAGTTAATTTTTTGCTAACTAGATAATTTTTTTCTAGCTAGTTTATTTTTTTCTAACTAGGTAAATAATAATTTAACTAGTTACTGGTAATTCCAACTTTTTCCTTTAAATAGATGATTACAATGTTTATATAATTCTACTTTTTAAGGCCACTTCATGATGTTTACATCTTACATGGAAAGGCATTGTAACATAACATCCAAAATGATTCTACATGCTGTGATAACATCAGTATCACTTAGAGAAGATGTTCCCACTAACGTTAACTAAGCTTGTGACAAGAAAAAAGGCTGTGAAGATGTTTTAATAGAGTTGTTAACCTATAGAAACTCGAGATCAGCTCAAGATGTTCAACACTAGTTCAGGAACATTGTAGATCTTTTACACACTTTACTTTCATTACAGAGGCTGTAAATTTATTATTTGAATATTTTAAATAAAACTTCATTTTGTTTAATAATTATTGCGTTATGATAAAACATTAATTTAGGAAATAATTATAATAATATTGTCATGTAATTTATGCACCGAGGGGCCTATATTACCTTGTTGACCACCATAATTATGTGACATTGATCAATAACAGGTTTAAAAGGTTGCCTGTGTCGCAGACAGTCTAAATCCTGGGTCTTGAGTGACAGGTCCAGCTGCAACGCAGGCTGTATCAAAAGTCAGATATGAAGAATCATACAAAATAGATGAATTTACAGTGACTTTCCCATCACCATTATTGAAAAATGAGAAAATTGGTCCCAGCAGTGATTCACGTAGCAGTACAATTTGGGATTCGCTGGAAGTATTAGTTTCAAATCTTAGCCCTTCTTGAGCTACAAATATAACAGCTTATCATCAGGCCATGTCTGACTAACATTTGCCCCTTGCCAACAAAATCCTTCCTGGGGTCAACATGATGAGCAGACAGCTCAAATGCCTTTGTGCCATTATTTTGAAGCTGAAGATTAGCAGAGCATTAAAAGAAATCATATGTCAATGTAGTTTATGTTCAACAATTGGATTTATATGCATGAAGTTACAGTAACCTGGTTGGATGTATGTTCTTTTTTTAACCCTTTAAGCCCCAATATCCACATACAAATTCTCCAAACTGATCTCTATACATTTCCTTTAAGAATTAGTTAAGAGAATCTGATAAAAGATCAAAGTATTTTCTCTTAGGTGATCATTTTATTAATTCTCATAACCTCATCTCATGACAATGTATGGATATCGTTAGGAGAAAATTGCTGTTGGTCACTATTGGTGCTTAAAGGGTTAAAAGAAAAAAAATATTATCCCTAGCACTGTTTTCTCCGCGTGCATCTCTTGGTCTCCTTCCGTGACAATTTTATACCATGTGAATGACCAGCCTGCGTTGCAGCTGGCTTACGCAGTCATCTAAACCATTAATATAGTCCGTTTGCGAATTAGTGCACAAAAGCTCATCCTAATATCCGGCAGAGTCACAAGGACATGTGAGCGTTTCTGATAGGCGGGTTTCTTATGGGTTTCTTATGCGCCTCACGATTGGCCTAATTCTTTATAGTTGTGCGTGACGGTTGGGCGCAGTGACATGTAAAAATTCTCGGAGGGGAGTTGGCAAGGATTGTTTATAGTAAACAATGAAAGAGCAGTTCGAACTTTAAAGCCTTCTTCTGAACAAAAAAATGCTTTGAGAGAATTCCTTCAAGGCCAGAATTTGCTTTTAAATTTGCCAACTGGTTTTCCAGTGTCTTCCAATCGCTGCAGATGCATTGCCGCATATTCTGCAATCTAACCGAGTCAGTTCTAGGATCAAAACAAATCAGGAAATCATGATATTCACAGCCAAAAAAAATACAGATTAGAAGCTATTCAGGTCCGGGCATTTCGGAGAAACCAAAGAAACTAAGGTTATTTATCCGCAATACAGCCTAGGGCGTAAACAAGTAAAAGAAAATCATTTAATGGTAAACTGCATCTGTGATCAAATCCTGTCAGAAAACATCTGCAGAAATATAAACCACAGGAACTAGTTACTCATATGCATGGAACAGACTTGTTTCATAACCTCTAAATGTAAGACTCAAAGTGGCAAGACAAAATTAGCTCAGTGAAAGTGTAGAATACTCCATGCACTGCATAAACTACACAGAAAGAGAGCAAGAAAAAGACCTCTGTTGTTCAGGCTGATTCTAAAGGAACGATTCACACTATCACGAGCTCAGTCTCTCTTGTCATGAGCTATTAGTTGTATTTGGCCCGTCAACACTTAATTCAAATCGGACTAATCACAAACTGCATAAGAAACTAGCCAATCAAAAATGTCGACACATGTCCTTGTGACTCTGTGGGATTCGAACACTATATTGTGCACCAATTCACAGACGCTCTATACAGAAGGTTTAGAGTGTCTGCGACGCAGGCAAGTGAACGACTAGCTGCGAAGGGTGTAAAGTAAACTGCTGCTTATTATCCCTAGGCTTAAGGTATACATCTTTGTACGGGGTTTTAGTCCTGAGAGCTTTTAAACAGAGAGGCAGGGCTTATATCTAAGGGGGCTTTTAACCAGGACGGAAAAAAAAATGCTTTCAAAACAAGCAAAAGCAGTGGTGATCAAAATAAGTTTTGCATTTACTATTTCAATGAAGCTTCAAATCTTGGTAATAAATAAAATTTATTTCAATACAAGCTAGAGGAGGGCTTACATCCATGGGGTGGGAGCCGATAATTCGGACAATTGTTTCGTTTACAGCTAGATGGATCTCTAACTGCTGGGGGACCTTTTAGGTGATGGGCTTATAACCAGCAGTCTAGGGTATTGCAGGCTTCATGCCAGTCTGTAAGCCTTTTAAGAGAGCTTAACAGCAAATGGACAAAATTATCTTTAACCCTTTCACTACCAAATGTGGCCAAAGGCAGATTTCGACCAATTATCCAAATATTTTCATTTTCTAAAATTTTGACAAACAAATAGCATCATGTGAAAGTACAGGTAGAGAGTTTTCATTTGAATGGTCACATCATAGGATTTCATCCACAGACTCAAAAGTTAGAGTCACCTTACAAAACTCCATCAAGCACTCTGGCAGTGAAAGGGTTAAAATTAATCTCAGAATAAATTCTAATAATGACTATTATTGCAGTGCATCCAATAGCTGTATTGGTTGTTTCTTGCATAGATAGGTAATTTATATGCATCACAACCAGGAGGGGCATGAAAAAGCACTTTTGCTGAGATATAATCAGCTCATCTGCTGTACAAAGTTCAGTCTAATAAGTATGCAACGTCTAGATTTGAAGTGGATCTCCTGCCACTCAAAAAAATGCCACAAACAATGCAATGAACGTTAATTATAAATTTATCTTCCGGGCAAATTACTTAATGGTTCCCTTACAGGAACGAACTGTTACTTTTTACAGGACACAACAAACTAAATTTAAAAAGAAATGTTACCTATGGATAGTTTACGTGAGGGCAACAATCCACAATAATAATATCTCTAACTTGACAATATTACAAACTAGTATTTTCAATATATATAAATGTATTTACATTACAACAGAAAGGCTGCTCCAGTTGATTCTGTACTAACAATCACAGGAATATATGAATTCGTAATGTATTGATCCTTTTATTTGAAGTGCAAAAACACCCCAGTGTTCATTCCACAAGGATCGTGTAAACTCCATAGTAACTGTACATAAACCTTTTTTTACGCATGAATTCTCATTCATACAACTTCGAGGTTACCCAACTTATAATTTGTTCTTTCTACCCGTTCCACTGACAAGTGACCAGCAAATAGATCATCCAAGATCAAAATAACTTGTTGTGACCATACATAAGCAAGCTGTAGTAAAGTGATGGAAACTTGAACGGCGAAACAGGACAAAAATGGTTCGAAAAGCCAAGAGAAGATCCTGTCCAAGTAACGTAGCATCGCCTCTAAATGTGTCTCATCTTCGACCGGTTTTTCGCTTTTGTTTACGATATTTACGATATCCACACGGCTATGATAATCAAAATTATCAAAAAGTTGCTGTAGTACAGAGCAATGAGAGCAATTGCTATCATAAACCCGATTACAACGGACAACTTGAGAAAATCCCGTGGACGATTCACAAAGCCATCTGCGTTGTCCGTGTGAGAGTTGCTGTAATTCTTCCATCGTTTCGACATAAGTTCGCCCAGATAAAAATGTTTTCCTCAGGTCCGGTAGAAAGTATTTTGGCTCTTATCCACTTCTAATTCCATTCAAGACAACCGCATTTCACTGAAGAACGTAAGTTATACAACTATTTGGTTACGACAACATAGCAGCTGTCGTCTACAAAGAGAATTAACCGGAAGTTGGGGTTTTCCGCTGACCATTTGCGTATTTGCGTAAATGTTGACGTACCGACACTGTATTTCCGGTCAGACCATGTCATTCGATGGTGGTTTGATTTTTATCAAAATCAAAATCAAAAAAAACTAGACACATCACTGCGTGAACTCGGACTGCCCTTGTCTTTCAAACGAAATAGACGTAATCAAAGAAACAATGGCATAAAATGGATCCTGTATAAATGTGAAATTTGGTTGTAAACCCAACTATCTTGAACCCGCTTGCTATTAAAAGATCTTAATGCCTGAGTCAATTCCAAGCGTGCCCATCCCCCCAACCCCCGGCCCGGCATTTGGATAACCTGAGATCAGGCCCAATTTCAGCGGTTCTCATACATTCTCTCTAACGGCTACCGCTAAAATCTCTTTTCGTTTCGCCTTGCCCGCCGGAATGTAATTTTCAAAGCGAAACGAAAATAGAGCCTGATCTCAGGTTTGCATTTGTCAGGCATTTGTCATCTTGTCGGTCCCGGTGGTGGGGATTTGTCAGAAACCTCTGCCCGGGGTTGGGGCATTTGTCAATTCTTCTAGATAGATGTGTATGAAATAAATCATATAAGAACTGCGGAAATGAAGTCAAATGAAGAATGATTCTCGCAGTTGTGAACGCAATTTATGCAATTGCGTAAGAAGCCTAAACAAAATTTTTAAGGGCCTCAACGGGATTTGAACCCGTGACCTCGCGATACCGGTGCATGATCCAACCAACTAAGCTATGAAGCCACTGATGTTGGGAGCTGGTCAATTATGTGTTTACGTGTTCATATGTTCCCGTGAGAGAGATAAATGTCATAGATGTATATGAAATAAATCATATAAGAACTG